CTGTTTGACATGGAGGTGGTTCTTGAGCCCCATTCAGTTCAGGGGTTTCTGGCCCTGGAGCACTTAGGCAAACCTGTTTGACTTCAGTCTCTTTCTTCAGAGGTTGGGTCAGTTTCATGGGCAAGAAGAGTTTTTGGCTGAGAATTCCTATGGTGAGTTATCAGTTAGAAAACCCCAGCTCCTGGTAGAGAGCTGGTTCCTTGTGACCATGACCATTGGCATCATCTTTAACACAATTTTAATGAGATAAGTAAGATGCCCCAGTACAACCCTAAACCTGGGCTGTGCCCAGGCATCAGGATTACCTATGCTAATAAATAAAGGTGTCTGGACCCACCCATGGAGATCCAATTCTGTAAGTATGGGATGGTATCTGGGCACTGTAACCAGAGGCAGGAATGCAATCAAATTCCAGATGACAGCCATTTTGGAATGAAAAAGATTTCTAAGAGTTCCAAGACAATGTACTCTTCCCTATGAAGCAATGAAGAGGGTTTGAATCCGGGAGCCTCTGGCCCTGTGTTGTGTGTGGATTTCATGGATCTGTCCTAAGTGTCAACTAAATTCATCTTGACCTTAGAACAGATGTTTCCACTTAATTTTTCAGAGCCATAGATGGTAATCAACTTACAGCAAATCTTTGTCTCAAGTACAGCCACCTGGCTTCCCAGAGCAAAATCGGCAGCATTGCAGCAAATCTGTGGGTGGAAAACTTGGAGAAAAGCAGAGGAATGGAATGCATTGTAAATGCCAGGCATTGTAGGTACTCAGAAAGAAAAATTGATTTAGATCAGAAAGATTGCAAGATACATTTGATAATCAAGGACCTTGGTGGCCAAGTAGGATTTGAGCATCAGAATCCCCTTAGGAGATAAAGCTCAGACACTGGGGGATAGTGTTCCTCAGATTTTAATGCGCATACAAACCACCTGGGGTCTTGTTAAGATGTAGATTCAGCTTCAGTAGTGTGTCCTGAGACTCTGCATTTCTAAAAGTGTTCTGGATAATGCTGATAACACCGCAGATCCAAGGGCCACATTTTGACCCAGCAGCCACAGGCCTCTGAGTCAACTTCTGTAGACAAATTATCAGCTTTGGTGAATTATCAGCTAAAGGCCACAGTGACTTTAAGACCAAAGAGAAATTTGCCTTACATCAGGTCATCCAGGGAACAATGACTTTCTTACCCATTGAGATGCAAAGTAATTTTGTATCCTCTGGTACCCCTTTTTCTGATCAGAGAACCTGTCATGTAGACTCTGATGTTTTGCAATTGTAAGTAAAGGTAATGTCAAGATGATTTCAAATATGGAATAAAAATAGAGTCTGTTTCTTAGGCAATGTTTAACTCAAGCTCCGCTTCATTTTATTTTATTTTATTTTATTTTATTTTATTTTATTTTATTTTATATTTGTTTGGTGGAAGGAGTTTTGATTCAGTAACATCATCATTTCCACCTTTTTTACATTCAAATGAAGAGCTGGATTTTAGTAGGACCTGGGTAAGTATTCAGCTCAGTGCCTCCACCATATTCTGTCCCCCCAGTTTTGTGACAAATGGTGGCTGGCTGAGTTTTGGACTGCTGCCTCCACTCACAGGTCCATGTAGGGGTTGCATTCATGACTGGAACTCATTAGAAAAGCCATGGTAAAGAAACTGAGCAATCAGCCAGTGAATGTGACTAACAGGGGAGAGCCAATTCGGTTAAGGTGGGGTCTCATATCCCCAAATATGACACACAATGGCCCAACCCATTCCCTAAAGGATGGAACCATGGCTGCAGTTTTATATGCCCATCTGAGCCTGCTCTGACATTTCATGTGGCACTATCCTCTTTACCACGGCATTTCTATAAGTCAAAATTTAATATATATTGTTTAAGAACTTTTTCAGTGTAGTCATAAAGAGGGAAAATGAGTTGTTCCCCAAAAATCTTGCTAGGACTTATGAGTGGAATATGGAATTTATTAGAATCAAGCTCATAGAAACTACCATGTGGTCTATCACCTTGCTGTAAGAATGGCTAATACTTATATACCCCAGATGATTAAGAGCTTATATGCTACATATAGTAGGCAGTAGAGAAAAGAATTCTGTAACTTTCTTGAAGAATGTCACTTGCAGTTAAGAGCCCCCACAGTAAGGAAATTCTTCTGCCACTTGATTGTATTTCTTTGCACTGAAAGTTTTAAAAGAAAAAAGGAACAAAAGATCACAACCCAACTATCACGAATCCATTTCCAATATTACACTTGTTAGTGTACATCTTTTTTAGCGTATTCCCTTTGGGGCCTAGAACAGAATGACAAAACCACCACTCAGTATGACAAACAAACAAGCCTTTGTGAGCAAAACCACAAATGTCCTGTACTAACAGCTTCCAGGCATTCTTTTTTGATCAATACAAATAAAATGTGTGGGTTTTTTTTTTTTAAATCTATGTTTATAAAGAACATATAGACTTGCATATCCCAAGAAAAGAGAGAGGCCTGTACCGGCCAATATGGCAGCCAACAACCACATCAGCTATTTCCATATACATCTAAATTAATGAAAATTTAATTATATAGAAAGTTCAGTTCCTCAATCACACCAGCCACATTTCAAGTGCTTGGTATGTATGGCTAGGAGCTATCACGTATTAGTGCAGACATGGAACATTTCCACCATCAGAAAAGACATAGAACATTTCCACTATCAGAAAAAAGTTTTATGGGGCCACGTTGGTCTAACAGGATGCAGACCAGACAGTGATTACCACTAATAATCTGGGATTATTATCTCTAGAAGTTGAGATTGAAGAGTAGTGGAAAGATTGTTGTTTTTTTAATTTATACACCTGTTTATGTCAGTTACTTCAAAAAACATAATTTACTTTTTTTTAACATGGAAACCCTGAAATGTTAGTTAGGACTCTAACAATTAATTAAATGTGCTTTGGAACCACATTTGGTCAATGTGTCCTGTTTCCTATGTGCATTCAGGAACAGAGCTCTAATTAAGTAGGTATGATATTACCCAGCTGAGTACCACTGTTCCATATTCAAAGCAGAATCACTCTCACTGTTTTTTTTTTTTTTTTTTAAGATTTTATTTATTTATTTGACAGAGAGACACAGCAAGAGAGGGAACACAAGCAGGGGGAGTGGGAGAGGGAGAAGCAGGCCTCCGGCCGAGCAGGGAGCCCGATGCGGGGCTCGATCCCAGGACCCCGGGATCATGACCTGAGCCGAAGGCAGATGCTTAACGACTGAGCCACCCAGGGCCCCCACTCTCACTGTTTTTATTCCATTTCGATTTTATAGATAAAGGAATGAAGGAACATGAGCTTGGAAACAAAATTCTAAGTCGAGTTGAGTTTGATTTCACACAGGGCTTCTACTGTGGCCAGGCTCTGTGCATCAGAGCATGAGGTTGACTATGGCTCCCAAGCATCTTACAGTCTAGTTGGAAGACAGGTCTATAGATAGATCTTTCCAAGTCAGAGGAGCAGGTGTGATGATGGAGGTATGTGCAGCAAGTCCTTTAGAAATCCAAGAAGCTCTGCTCTGAAGACCAGAAGAATCATAGTTCAGCTACCTTAGAAAAGGTGGAGTACATAGTAAGGAGGAAAAGAAGGGACTTGGGGAAAGAGAAGAACCCCATGCTTGCAAAACAACATGAGCTAAGGCAGGGACTTAAAACAGGAGGGAGGTGGGGCAGTTCCCAGGCAGGTTGATCCCAGTGGGACACATCATCCTTTAGCCAAAAGTCTTATGCTCCTCATGACTCCAGAAGGGGTGGACACTGCACTCTTGGTGAAAACGGCATGAACCGTCATGTCCAACAAGCCTGGGTCTGAATCCTGGCCTCTGTACTTCCCAGCTGATCGACCACGTAAGCCACTTCACTGTGCAGGCCTGCTTTCTCCTTGAGCAAAATGCTCAGTGATAATGGACTGGTGGGATGAGGTGTGGATCAGGTGAGGTCCCACTGGCCCTGATGCCCCATGCTCTATCACTTCCCTTTTCTATCCCAGTTGTACTATATGATAAGTATTCGATTCCTGGGACTCAGTGAAGAGGTAGAATAGTGAAAATAACGTCACCAACATCGATAGCTGCCTTGTGCTGAGCACTCATTGTACTCGTTGTTCCTGTGCCACAGAATATCACAGTACTTATCTTCATCCTAGCAAAGCCCTGAAATAAGCATCATTTGCCCCACTTTGTAGCAGGGAAAGCGGAGGCTTGGAGAGGTAAAATAACTTTCCCAAGCTCCCACGCCCAGATGGAAGTGCTGGGACCTGCACCCACGTCTGCCTGGCTGCCAAGCCTGTCCAGTCACCTGTCCTAGGTGCTTCTCCAAACAGAGAAGCCACGAGTCATTTGGGTGTAGCTGCTGGCCCACTTCTCAGAAGAGATTTTGGAAACAGTTCAAATGACAAAGAATTATCATTCACAATCTCAGTCTCCTGAAGGACCGCACATAGGACTCTGTTTTAAAAGAGCACAAAGTTTCTCTCAGGGTAATCTGCCTGCATGACTCAATTTTTTCCGAAGTCCAAAAGGACAGCCTAATTTAGACATTGGCCCTGGCCAGCTGTGCTCTAGCAAGACTGGGCAGACTTCCCGTCCAGCCTCCAGGGGCTCTGGGCAAGGAAGACTCTAGGACCCCCACTCCAGACCCTAGACTCCAGCCACTCAAATTCTGATCAAGGAATAATTTAAATAATAATAATTTAAGTGATAACTGCAAGCAGTTTCTCCATTTGACAGTAGCCAACATCGGCACATCTTCAACCCCCAATGCCCAACCTCAGGCTCTGACTCAGGCCAGGTGTTGGCCATGCCCTAGAGCTGACAGGCTCTGTCCCCAGAGCATCTCTACCATCTTCATCTGGGGTTGAGCCCACCGTCACCTTCTCCTGCACTGTCCCTTTCCCAGCCCCTCCCTGAGCCCCTCCACCTCAGGCCAGTTTCTTATTTCAAGAGAGAACAGAGAGAGCCACAAACTGGGAAAGACATTTTTAATCAGTTGCCAGACTGCTTTGAACTTCAACATGAGCCCCATCAAGTTGTGCTTCAACTTTAGAGTAGAAGCTGCCAAGAGAGAAGCAGTCTGAGATCTGATGAACTAGAATGGCAGAAGGGGCACGTGCCCCCTGTCTGGCAGACGCAGACATCATACACGGGCTCCAGGAGCTCTGCCATGTTCGCTCTGTGATGCTGCTTCTGGTAGAGCTGGGGAACGGTCCCAACTGCAGCAGCTTCTCATCTGCAAGCACGAAATCCAGATTACCATTCTTAATATTGATGTGTATTACTTGCATTTCTATGCTAAACAATTACTCTGAGCCAGCAAACATTGTGAAAAGCACCTGAGCAATAACACCTCATTTAAACCTCATGAAAACCTTGCAAAGAAGATAGCATCATCCCCACCATACAAATGAGGAAACTAGGCTCAGAAAAGTGAAATGAACTGCCCCAGAATACACGGTCATGTGTGGTGGGACAGGGGTTACAAGAGCATGTTGTGATTATCAGGAAAGCAGGGTTGGAAAGCAGAAACCTGGCTTTAGAGGAAAGGATCTACTTGCCTTTAAGTGACATCTGTGCAATTAGCCCTGTGTCAAACTGATCTTAATTTCCTCTGGGCCACAAAGCTCCCATCAGGAAAATGGGACTCATGGCTCGGCCCATTAAAGACCACCTCACTAATTAATTGAGTCATCAATATCCCCTAGGTGCAAGGTCCTGACTCCTTATTGTGAGGCACTTAAATCTATCTGCTGAGTATTTCAAAGAACACTTTACAAAAGGCGTGCGGACGGTATGGATCGTGCACACATGGGTTGAAAGGTGGTATCTATTTAATGAGCGGTCACCAAATTAGGCAATGTACTGGACACTCTGGAAATCAAATTTAAATGATGGGGGATGCTGAAAAGAATACGTTCCTTTAGAAAAAATAATGAGGGCTTTGCCTAATTGCTCATTTATCACAGGATTTTATCTCAGTCTGCCAATAAGAAAAAGGAAAAAGGTGGCAACTGATTTAGCCTTGTTCATCTACAACTTCAACCAGCATGTGCTTCTAATGAAGCCAAGACTTTCTGAGCTGGAGAATTTACTGGTCTAGAAGGTAACCGAATGTTCTATCACCTCCTCTAATTGAAAAGTAATAAAAACGTCACAAACAGTGTCAATTACCCACTGATGGGTTACTTTCCTCCTATTTACCTTTTAAGACATCCAGCGGTTCTGGAAAATACTTTAGGCTGCTTTTTTCCTCCACCCCTCCTACCCCAGTAATATTTCTTTCAGAAGTGACAAGGAGAGACAGTGTCCCTTGTTGGTGCCTGGTCATTAAGTATCTGTCGGAATCCATGACTTAGTTTGGGTCCAGACATTCAATCACAAAATGGGGGGGGGGGGGGGGGAGAAAAAAAGTCAAAATAACTGCAAAAAAAGTGAGTGTTGGTTAATTATGATCTGAAAGTCAATAAAGTCATCTGATGGCAGATTTAGGGGAACTCATTAGAGAGTGGAATTCAATTGCGGAGAGCGGCAAGCTGCTACAGCTCAGCAACCAGCCCACTTCATTAGGGTCTTCAAATGGGATGAGAGAAATGCCTCCAGGGCATGAGTTTCCCCCTCGGCAACCTCCCAGTGGAGCATCTGCAAAGCATTTGCTGGAATAAGTAAAGAAGTAAGTAAAGGATAAGATATCCAGGTATCCCGCATGAGCTACTTTTTCTCCTTTCTCAGAATTGAAATTACTTAAAAAAAAAAAAAAAAAAGCCAGTCCAATTTAAGGGCCATAAGAATTTCAGGAGGCATGCTGGCCAGCCTCAGATATTTTAGAGTCTCAGGCTCTGGGGAGAGAGTTGTGGGACCATTTTGAGTGGGGCTATTAATAGGAAATTGAGCCGTCTTAAGCTGCCATGGTTGCCTTGTGAGCCATATAGAATATATTTGTTTAAGTGTGGAATTAGTTTGGCCCGCCCTGGAACTCAAGTCTCCTGAAGCAAAGCTATAAAACAGGCAATGTTTATCTTTGGTTTCTAACTGCCAGAATCCTCTCCTTTTGGGGCCCTTCTGTTCCCTGCTCATTTGTCCTCATTGCTTAGGGTCGTGCTCCTCCGTCTCTTAAAACCTCCCTATCAATCTTTTCTGCATCAAGCACCCATCGTGTGACACCTTGCTAGGCTATGGGGGTGGAGGGTAGATAAAAAGATAAGCAAATCAGTCTTTGTCTCCCAGGATCTGTTAATATTGGTCAAGAAGAAAGAGATGTACATATGACAAGCATCCAGCCTACTCCTTCTGAGGCATTCCCTAGAAGAAAGGATCCTGCTCTTCCCTTTATCAGACAAGGTGATATAATTTGAAAGCTCACAAAATCAGAATTCAAACATATATTTCCAGATCCCCACACTAAAAAAATATAAATAAAAGCAGCCATGAAATCAGAGCATCTTCTAGAACCATCAGGCCCAAGAAACAGGCAGGAAGCAAGGGTAAGTTTGTACCACTCGGTTGGCTCACATGTTTGCATTTCTATTGTGCCATCCCTAAGGAACCAGATTTTTTTCTGCCTTAAAATATGGAAATAAAGAACTGGAATCCACATTTCTATTGTGCCATCCCTAAGGAACCTGATATTTTTCTGCCTTAAAATATGGAAATAAAGAACTGGAATCCCACCCTCAAAGGTAGCGACTTCACAAATAAATATGAAAGAGGTGAGCCCCAAAATGGGAAAAACTGCACAGAGCAATTCAAAAAAGAAAAAAACACACGCTTGTTAAAAGTGAAACAAATTCAATTCCGTTAATACTCAAGCACAAAATTAAACAGCCATGAGTTGTCATTTTTCATCTACCGTCTGACACTGGTGAGGGTTGGTGAAAAGGGTCCAGCAATTTGCTGCTTAGTGGAAGTATAAAGCAACACAGTCCTTTTATGGAGCAATTTCTGATCAGTAATCATAGAAACGTTCATAGCCTTGGGCCTGGTAATTCTCCTTCCAAGAACGTATCCTCAGGAAATAAGCTGAGATGCACTTGAGGCTCAGAGCACAAACACCACGCCTCACACCCTGTGGTCCTCCGCAGAGCTGCCTCGCCCAGCCTGGGCTGCAGGGTAGCCTCTATGCACCAGTTCAGTTCCCCGGAGGGAGCAGCTGACACTTTTCAAACACACTGAAGGAATCCAGATGTGCTCCTGACCTCCCAACGGTCTAACCTCCTGCCGGCCCTGGCTCCTTTAACCTAAGGGCTGTTAGCAGGTTTCTGCCTGTGTCTCTGCCACTTTACTCTGTCTGCATCCTGCCCCTCTTCCACCGAGGGAGAGTCACGAGTTTGCCTTTTCATTCAATTCATTCTCCTCTAACAGAAATTCTTGGAGATGCAGTGTGCACTTTTCAGCCTTCCCAGGTGTCAGCACCGGGTGCAGGTTTTTCTCTTATTTTTATACCTATCGGTCATTTTAATGGGGACCTGGAAGGAGAGGAATTAGACACTTGTGCTGACATCACATTCTTACCCAGAAGTCCTGGGTTGCCTTTCTAAAACAAAAGAAAATCAGAGGCAGAGGGAGGTAGAAGGGGGGGAGGGAGGGAGGAGGGTGGTGAGAGGGGGAGATCCATTTACATGGCTCCCCCTCACAATGCTAGACAACTCGCTGCAAGTTTGCATATTCATGTGAATTATTTTAAACGGTTTGCCACTGGTGTAGATGTTAAGGAACAGGGATTTGCTGGGGAGGGGGCTACGAACAGAAAGGAAAGTAAGTGCAGAGTGGCAGACTTCAGGGGAAGAATAGATTCAGGCCTGATACCGCAGGGCACGGCGCGCAATGGGTTTACCATTGAGGACTTTCCAAATCCGGAGTCAAGATGACTGGTATCCTGAGAAGTCACAACGTGAGTGAAGTGCACCAAAAAAGCAGAAGTGAAGGAGTTTCCCAAGAGGAGAATTTTTTTCCCCTTTGCAATGTTGCCTCCTAACCTGGACATGGCGACGGCCATGTCTACAATCTCTGAATCAAAGATTCACAATGAATTGCATGAAGATGTTTGGCCACACAAAACCCATTTCCTCAGAGAGCGTTTAATTTTGTTGGCTGTTTGGAAAATGAGTAGTGGATATCCAATTGCTTTCAAAGTAACATAGAGATTTGACAGAATACAGCCAGAGTTGTGTGGAGGAAGACTTGGCGCCACCAAAGGCTTCAGAGCATACGAAACCATGCATTTGTCATTTCCTTGTCTTTTACTAGCCCTCTGAGCTCTACAGACCTCTCCTCTTCTCCATCTTCAACATAACCCATACTTGATCTTCTGTAGATGGTTTTTAGTTCTACATGGTACATCAGAGTAAAAATGGAAAATCCAGGCTTGATTTTGCCATGACTATTTTTGAATTATTCAGAACTCTCACAAAATTGTCAGTCATTCAAACAAAATCCCTTGTAACATCCGTAGTGCTTCTGTGTGTGTGTGTGTGTGTGTGTGTATAAAAGAAATAGTTGTTCCAACCAGGCTCATTGTAACTGGGAAATGCTTGAGGAAAACAAAGCTGATCAAGGAAATCTTGGTGATGTTTAGCAGCTGTTTCCTGGGTACATATCTGTTATATTTTTTAAGCCACAATTAAATGTGATTTTAATGATCATTTGGTATTTAAATAATATAGTATGATTGTCATATGGAATTTTAATTAGATACACATTTGCAACTAAAATATGAAGCGTTACCACTGTGAAAAGACCTTTCTCTCTTAAGGATACTTTTTAAAAAGTAATGTTCCTTGTGATTCAGTAAAGAGCAAATTCTTTTCCAATATTATTTACCCTTCTACATTAATCCAGCATTTGATGAGTCTTGAGGGAATGAAAGACAAGAATTTTAAACTAAATAAGTGCTCTCATAATCCCCTAATGAGGATAATGAAAACAGTACACAGGATACATTTAAGATAAAACATGCTTCAAGTAAATAGCACATAAGAAGCCTAAGTTACTTCCATTTTATCTCCATTCAAAGCATTTCCTGGACTCCATGTTTGCAAAGCAGCCATAGTCCATCTCCTTTACCTTTGTTCTCATTTTCTTTAGGAAACTTTATATCTCAGACGTTCCCCCCTTCAGCATTCAAAGGCTCTGAACTTGGATCTTAGTTAAAATCGAAGCTTATAAATGTAACTGTTCAAATCACCAGCTCTTCTTCCCAGACTCCCCAAACCAGTGTTTTGGTGCTCATCACATTTGTATTCTGAAGACCCCTTCACTTTTTATAATTTAATAGAGTTCGTCTTCAAGCATCATTTTTCTGGTGTTGTCCTTTTAGGATTTCTGCCCCCTGGTCAACCTATTCTTACCACTGGTCTCAGTGAGGTGAACACTAACGATGACAGGCCCAGGATCTCAGGGTTGGTGTTAGAAACCCAACACCTGATGAATTCAATGATCATTTAAAAGTAAAAAAGTAAAAAAGCTAAAATGTGCAACTCTTTTCCTTTGTCAAGGAGTGGCAGCTCCAGCCCCTGTCTTTTCTTTTTGTCCCTGTGTTTGCTTTTCATCTTCCTGAAAGTCCAAGATCCCTTCCTGCTAAAAACATGTTAGCCAGATTTCAGCCTCATTTCAGGGCAAAGGACATTTGCCCTCCAAGTGGCAAATACTGGAAAACTTCCAGCCATTTTATAAAGCCAAGGGTTAGCATAAAAAAGAAAAACATTGTGCCTCTAGGTGTTATGAAAATGCCAACACCTTTCTCTCAAATATATTTAACCTGTAAAAACCTTTGGAAGGTCACCTGGGTTTCTAATATTCCTGGTCACCATTTTCTAGTGATAAAAAAACAAAAACAACAAAACAAAACAAAACAAAAAAACCTGTATTTTCTAAGAGTGAAGGAATTACATAAAACATAGCTGATTGATTTTCTCTCTTCAAGTCTTAACTCCCCTAGAGAGAGAGCATTTCAGTTGAGTCGAACGTTTGATCACAAGCTGTGTATCAGGTACTGTGGAGGTAATCCCAGCTAGACTATCTCACTGAAATGTGAATAACTACTGAATCTCTCTCCTATGGCTGTGAGGAGGGAGAGAAATATGAGACGGGGGAGAGGCAACAGGAAGACTCACCTGGTTGGGAGGGATTCCTTGAGCCTCAGGTAGGTAAAAGAATGTCTCTTCCTCACAGCATAGGGAGCCTGACACAGGCTGAGCTGAGAGAAAAACAAGAAGTTGAGGTCTGTAAATCACAGAAGGGATTCTACGTGAGCCACCAAATGCAGGGAGCAGAGCAGATATCACAGGATTAAATAAGGAACCAAGGACTAGAGAGCCAGGGAGCTAAGATCATGGAATCAAGTGCCAGAGCTTTCCAGAATGTCAGCCAGGGGTCCTTAGTGACATTGAAATGTACCTTCATGGCCAGCAGGACAGAGCACCAGGATGAGGTGTGGTGGGCAGGGTCTGGGATGCAGAAGCAAACACCGAAGGGTGGGGATGAGAGGGATCTCTGGTTCCTGGAAAGCCCACAGGAATCCTACGTGGGGCATGGGCAGGTGGTGTATAGATGAGAAGGTAGGCTAGGCTAAGCTATGATGTTCAGTAGGTTAGGTATATACGATGCATTTTCAACTTGATATTTTCAACTTACAATGGATATACAACCCCATGTAAGTCGAGGAAAATCTGTGTATTAAAAATAAGTACATAGGGGTGCCTGGGTGGCTCAGTTGGTTGGGCAGCTCCCTTCGGCTTGGGTCATGACCCTGGAGCCCTAGGATCGAGCCCCACATCCTGCTTGATGCCGGATCCTCCCCCATCTTGTGCTCTACCTCTCCCATTTTCTCTCTCTCAAATAAATAAATTTTTTTAAAAAGTACGTATTTAAAAATTCCTCACTTCTTAACTATTTTCCTATGACCTATGCCCTTGAAGTTATCCCTCTATGCTGTCTCTGTATGGCAGGAAGGCTATGTAATGCTCTGCCACTGTACATATCTGCCTCGCTCCACCTTTCAGTGGCAACACTGGTGGTTTGAAATTGGCCAGGATGAAAGAGGCAAGCACTATAAATCAGGGTTTGTCCTCCCCGCAGGACAGCCAGTTATTTAAACATTTACCAGCACACTATTGAAGACAGTAGTGGTTGAATGTGGGGGAAAAGTTGGAGAAGCGGAAGCCAGACATTTGAAGAGATGTCATCTGAGTAGAAGAGCACAGAGACTTTCTGCGAGAACTGGCATTTCATCTCAGTGTGCTCCATGGGCAAATCATCGGCATTTACAGGGTCAGCGAAAGGGTAAACAGTCAATGTCTCTGAAAGCACCATTCATCTCACCAAATGAAAAAGTGCATCTCAAATGATGGATTTTTCTGTAAACTGTCATGAAGAACCCTTGAGGTTATTCTCACAGGAGAAATGAATACAGTGCAGGTGGCCCGGAGAGGAATGGAAATTAATATAAATCAACATGAAGGAACTACAAGAGGAAAAGAGGAATGGGGATAGCATTGAGGATGTAAAAAATAGGTACATGGAAGATTCCCAAAAACAAATGTTTTTAGAAGAAATATTAATGCAAATGGAAAAGTCAAAACCATGGCACTGCTCCTTTTTTTATGATGTTTGATAGGTTAAGCCAGTGGATTTCAGCTGTGTTCCCTAGATGGTTCAGAATCTAGGTCAGAAGCTAAGAGGAGGATCAAGCTGACAGAAGCCCAGGTTCCATTATCTTACCAGGGCAACTAATTTTCTCATTTCACATTGGGTTTTCTAATAAGATTCCATTTGAAGAAGGGTTTCCTCTGCTTTTAAAAATTGAAGGGAAAATTAAAGAAAAATTGGGTTTCTATCTCTTTATTGAAATATGAATTTATGGTCAAAGTCATTATAATAATACTATCAAGCATTATCATTAAAATATTATTGAAAAATAATGCAATAACTCTAAATCATCTACCTACCTGTGAAATCCTGAATAGTGGTGTGTTTCCTGAAGAGAAATTTTTTAGGACATTGAAACACATAATCTGATTAATAATTTTTTTTACAATCTACTTGTATGACTTGCTGATTTTTTTCAAAGTAGGAATCAGGTGTGAAAGGCTGAACAGGCAGAAAAAAGCTATTCCGTGTAGGGTCTCTTTAGAATCTGGGTCCATAGGTCCATAGGTCACCATAGGGGTGACATGATTTGATTTGCATTTTGAAAACACACTCTAATTCAATGTGGAGAACAGATTTGAAATGGCTAACAATGGAGATGGGAAGATTAGTTAGGAGACCATTAAAATGGTCCAGACTTACTCTGGTGGTAATGTAGAGATGTACAAAAATGGATAAAAGAGAAACCCAGGAAGGAGAATGGGCAGGACTTAGTTAAAAAGAGGGAAATATAAAAAATGACTCTTGGGTTTCTGAACTATACAACCGAATGAGAGAACAGAGTTGTACATTGATACAGAGAAATCTAAAAGCGGAACAAGAGGCGAGGGGTAGATTATTAATCCAGTTTGGATATACTGTCTTTGAGACATCTTTGAAGTATTCCAAAGGATATTTAAGGTGAGCAATTGGATAGTATGTCTCTGGAGCTCAGAATAGACATAATTCTCATATCATAATCATATTCATGTACCATAATTCACCCATTTAAAGTGTGCCATCGAATGGTTTGAAGAATATTGACAGAGTTGACAACCATAACCACAACCAATTTTAGAACACTTTCATCACCACAAAAAAAAGCCCTGTTTCTATTAGCAGTCATACCCAATTTCTCCCTCCCCCGTTCCTAGGCAGCAACTATCTATTTTGAAATCTGTGGATTTCCATATTTTGAACATTTTATATAAATGGGATGATACAATACATACCTTTTGTGTCTGGGTTTCTTCATTTAGCATGTTTCCAAAATCCATCCATGAATCAGTTAGAGGACTGAATACTATCCCATTGAATCGATATAATATATATACCACATTATGTTTACCCAATCATCAGTTGACAGACATTTAGGTTGTTTCTACTTTTGGCTATTATGATTAACACTGATATGAACATTCATTAACAAATTTTTCTGTGGGCCTATGTCTTTATTTCTCTTGGGTATCTACACTTAAGAGTGGAGTTTCTGGGTGATATGATAACCCCATGTTTAGGGTTTTGAGGACCTGCCAAACTGTACTTTGCAGTGATGGCACTATTTTAGTTCCCTCCAGCAATGTACAAAGGTCCCAAGTTCTCCATGTCCATGCCAAGACTTGTTACTGTCCATTTTTTAAGATATAGCTATTCTTGTAGGTGTGAAGTGATATCTCACTGTGGTTTTGATTTGCATTTCCCTAATGATTAATGATGTTTTCATATTTCAATAAACATATTTTCATGTGCTTATTGGTCTATTGTGTATATTCAAATGAGAAGTATCTATTCAAATTCTTTACCGATTTTTAATTGGGTCCTTTGTCTTTTTACTGTAAGAGTTCTTCATATATTCTAGATACGAGTCCTTTGTTATCAGAGACATTATTTGCAGACATGTTCTCCCATTCTGTGGGTTATCTTTTAACTTCCATTATTGTGTTTTCTGATGCACATTTTTTTTTTTTAGTTTTGATGAAGTCAAATTCCTTTTTCCTTTGGTTGCTAATGCAACCAAAATTTTATCCAAAAAACTATTATTGGAATTACATCCAAAAAACCATCACCTAATTCAAGGTCACAAAGAATTCCACCTATGTTTTCAAGTTTTACAATTGTCACTGCTACATTTAGCTTTTTGATCAATTTTGAATTAATTTTTGTATGTGTTGTGAAGACTGAGTCCTCCTTTATCCCTTCACAGGTGGTTATCCCATTACCCAGTACCATTTGTTGAAAGGACGATTTTCCCCCATTGAATTGTCTTAGCACTCTTGATGAAAAACAATTAACTATAAAAGTTAGGGTTTTTTCTTTGATTCTTAATTCTATTCCATTTATATATGTCCATTATTATGCCAGTATCATAATGTCTCCTTACAAAGCTGACTACTGAAGCTTTGTAGTAAGTTCTGATAACAAGAAATGTGAATCTTCCAAATTTGTTTACCTTTTTCAAGATTGTTTTGGCTATTCTGGGTCCCTTACATTTCCCTATAGATTGTGGGATCAGCTTGTTAACTTCTGGGGGAAAAAAAGGCAGTTGGGAATTTAATAGGAATTTCATTGATTCTGTAGATCAATTTAGGGAGTGTTGCCACTTAATATTAAGTCTTCCAATCCATAAGCATGGAATGTCTTTCTACACGGTCTTTTTAAGTTTCTTTCAAAATGTTTTGTAGTTTACAGTGTGTAAATCTTACATTTCTTTCATTAAATGTATTCCTAAATATTTTATGTTTTTTAGGTTATTTTAAATGGAATTTTTTCTTAATTTTATTTTTAGACTGTGTATTGATAGACATACAATTTATTTTGGTATTTAGATCTTATATTCTATAACATTGCTGAACTTTTTTTTTTTTAAGATTGATTGATGATTTGTTTGAGAGAAAGAGAGACAGAGTGTGAGCAGAGAGAGAGGCAAGGGGAGAGGGAGATAGAGAGAAGCAGACTCCCCACTGAGCAAAGAGCCCAACACAGGGCTTGATCTCACCACCCTGAGATCATGACCTGAGCCAAAATCAAGAGTCAGATATTTAACCGACTGAGCCACCTCTGAATTTATTAACTCTAATAGATTTTCCTTCCGGATTCCTGAGTATTTTCCATATAAAAGATCAGGTCATCTGAAAATAATAGTTTTATTACTTCCTTTCCCATCTGAATGCCTTTTTCTTTTCTTTCTTTCTCTTTTTGTTTTTTCTTGCTTAATTGTCCTGGCTAGAAACTCCAGCACTATGTTGAATAGAAATGGCAAGAACAGACATCCTTGTCATTTTCCTCTCCTTCATTTTGAAAGATTATTTTACTGGACATGTAATTCTTGGTTACTATTCTCTTTCAGCACTTTGAATATATGATTTCACTGCTTTCTGGCCTCCATGGTTTCTGATGAGAAATCAGCTGTTATCTTATTGAGTCTTGTACATGATGCTTCTCTCACTGCTTTCAAGATTCTCTCTTTGTCTTTGGCTTTTGCCAATTTGATTATAATATATCTAGCTGTGGATCGCTTTGATTTTAACTTGGAGTTTGTTGAACTTCTCGGGTACATGGATTTATGCTTTT